CAATTTTACAAAACCCAACATCTTTTCCTTTACTCCCATCAACCAAATAACAATGATTCTCAAACAAAATTTTCTTTGTTCTTTGTTCTTTAAAATCTCATTTAAGAAGTAAGTTTCCAAAAATCCAACACAACCCAACAATATGTACACTCCCACAACCTTTCTCAGGCATTTATTTGAAAAACCACTCTTTTACTTTTCAAAATCAAAACCTAGATTTAACCAAAAACCCCCAAATCACTAACCATTTTCAAAGAGCAAATAACTAAGCTAATAACCATATTAAGTCTTTGTTTGGGAAGAGCTAAAATAGCCTGACTTTTTAGCTTTTAACTATTTTAGCCTGACTTTTTAGATTTTTAACTATTTTAGCCTGACTTTTTTAGCCTCGTTTGGTTTCTGTTTTTGGCTTTTTTGACTTTTGTGAGAAAAAATATGTAATAATTATGGTTTGGATGTGACATTTTGTCTTATTGGCTTATGTAGCCAATTTTGTCTTTTGTGTTTTTTTAGCCAAAAAGCCAAAACCAAACATAGCTTAAGGGTTGAAGAAATTCCTTGCTCAAAGTAAAAGACAAGAGAGAGCAAAGGTAAAAACTTGGCGGAGCTAAAAACAGCAACTCCTTCGATTAAAACAAAGCTCTCAACGTGCTCTACCATTTTCTCAACAGGGCTAGGGTGAAGAAATCAAAGGATTGCGAGTATTTAGAGCTAGAATGTAAGAACTAGAGAGAGAGAGAGAGAGAGAGAGAGAGAGAGAGAGAGAGAGAGTGAGTGAAGATTTAGGGTTTTTAGTGAGAGAAAAGTAAAAAATGACCCAAAATGCCTGTCTCTCAGACTGATATACGCACAAACCGCGCGAGCGTGTGATAACCTGATTCCATAATATGCTTTCATTCTCTAATTATCCATGTGATTATATGTTTGATATGAAATTGCATACTTAGTTGTGTGAATGGTATGATTTTGAATTTTTATCTGTTGAGTGTAGGAAAATCTGTTGAAATTAGAGCTTTGAGTTGAAAATTGAAGGTCTTAGAGATGTAAGAACCAAAACTGACTTGATATTTGTGATCAGCATGATTTTTAAGGCCTAATATGAAGTTTTCTAAAAATTTGATTTGTAATGAATTAAATGCATTTAATTAAGCTAAAAAGTTGAATTATGACTAATTAATATATGCTTTTAACTTAACTTAAGATAGATATAGATGAAACCTTAGAGAACTTAGAGTTAGACTAAAAAATATCTTGTTAAGAGTTCTAGAGAGTGAGAGCAAGAAGAAAATAGAGAAGATCACGTCAAGGCTTGGAAGCTTGGCGATGTGACGCCCTCAAAATTAACCCATTATATATCATTGACATGCATTATTTAAAGAAGACAATTTATTAATTCATTCATCAGAGTATTACCAAATAAAGTATTACATGTATCATCGAATAAAATGCCCTACAGGCTTACAAGTCCGGATACAATAATCAAATGGGAAAAGACCGGGGTCGCTATAGGCGATTTGAAGGAAAAATTCAGGGAATTAGCTCAAGGTAAGTTCAAAAATTAGCTCAAACTCTTCAAATATCTTTTCTCTTGTTTAAAATCAAGTCTTGAAATGGACATTTCACACCTAAAAGAGTTAGGGTTTTGGAATTAAGAGCTTAATTGATTATAGTTATGGAATGAACCTTGAATCCCTTGGATTTGTTTGATTTAAGAGTGTATATCTTCATCATTGCTTGTTTTGAGGTTACTTGTGAAAACTTGAACCCTAATCTTTGGCTTTTGCAAGATTTTAACTCAAGAATTATATACTTAATGAAAATATAAGTGAATTTGAAAGAAAATGAAGAAATTCATCAATTTATGAAAGCTAGGGGTTCGATTTTGGAATTTAAGTAAGATCTTATTCAATTGAGTTTGAAATACACTTTAATCATGTATATATGTCATTTTTTTTAAAATGGATTTGTATGAATTGGGGCTTGAATATGAGTTTAAAAGCTTAAGGTTGAGACAATTTCCGGACTGCCCAGAAAAGTCCAGAACTGCATGTGTGGGGCTTACAATCGTGCGTGCGAAAAACAAGGCAAATCATAGCATCACTTCTGAAATAAATGCACGTGTGGTAAAGGATTTTCACATGTGCGGAAAACAGGGTGAAAAATCGTCAATCTCTGCTAACGTATCCGACCCACTGAAATTGTGTGCAAGCATGTTTAGACCCTCTAGAATGTTTAAAGATAAACAAAAAATAAACGAATCGTAAACGAGTAAATAAAGGAAAAGACTAAGAATGAATGAATTGTTTACCGAATTTGTATCTATGTTATGATGTGTAGGTCGCCTGCCGGGAGGACCATCGCAAGGCCAATATCACTGTGAGTAATAGTATTGTAAATATATGTTTTAAAGTACTTATTCTCCTCCTTAACGGATATGCCATATGTAACTTGTGTTTTGTTCAAAATGAATGAGTTTCATGAATGTGATATGATATATGCAATGTGGACCCAAGGTCGTTCTGCTATACTATGATATGTTTGGGCCCGAGGCCATTTTGTTTTGATATGATTTGCTTGGACCTAAGGTTGTTCTGATTAGCTGATAATATAATTGGCCTGAGGCCATTCTAATATTGTAATGGGTCTGAGGCCGTTCTATTTAATGGGCCTGAGGCCATTCTGTATGATGTTGGGGTCGAGGCCCTTCCGTAATTTGAATACGGATATTGTATGAAAGCTATATCTTGGAAAGATCTGCTTCAATTACTACAGTCTTGTAAAGCTTATGCTTATTCATTCAAATCTCTTTACTTTATTATTACTCATTGAGCTTTGCTCACTCCGTATATACGTATGTATATGTAGGTGACCAGTAGCATGGAGACCAACCTTAGGGTCTGCACTAGGAGTTATTTTGTGAACCGATTGGTCAAGTCTCCAAGATGGGGCCTCCGTCTTTTGACTCACTTTTGATATGATTTTTGTGTTAGTTTTGCTATGATGGTCTTGGCATATGAAAACTATATCTCTGATGAATAACTCAAATGATTCGTTTTCTTTTATAAATGCATGTTAATGTTATGGTTATTATGGGTTTATTTTGAGGGCGTTACATTCTTTGATACATAAAGTTTTGCATGGACATGTAAATATGTGTGGTGCACTATAATTTAAGTAATTTATATATTTTTTGATCATGTTGGCACAATTCAATGGACTTCTTTGTATGTGATATGCTTCCGCTTATGACCCCATTATTGTATTTATTTTGTATTATTGTTCGAGGCCGTAAGTAATCAAGTGATTACTGACCGGTTATGATCCTGATCCATAGGGGCGGTTTTGAGTCGTGACAGAGCACAAGACACAATAAGTGACACCTCTTGAGCACACAATGACCCCTTCCCAGAAGTTCAAACCTTCAAAAAACTGTTAGAGTGTAAGAAATACCACTCGAGCGAAGATACCACACTTCCAGTAGTTTTGCAAACTATAAAAGACCGTTCGAGTGCAAGAAAGACCGCTCGACCAAACAGGCAAAAATCTGGGCAAAAACTCTTTGAAAAACTAATTTCTTAACCTGTTTCAAACGGAATCACAACTCCCAAACAAGCAAACTCAACTAATAACAAGATGAAAATGAGATGAACAACAGTTAAGAATATGGATTCTCAGATTCAAAAGTAAGAAATAGGTAGGGTCTAAACCGGAACCGTTATAAATTTTAAGTATAAAAATTGAAAAATGCTATATACCAAGAATTTGTAGTCTAAAAATCATCCGAAAAGTAAAATATATTGTGTAAAAAAAAATTTAATATAATATGGCTCACATCCAAAATGAATGTGATCTATTGATTTAGTTTTCTAGGTAATTGGTAATTTTCTCGATTTGTAAAATATGGGAGATTCTACAATACAAATCCGCATATCAGAGGTCAGTTATGACATTTTATGATATTGATATTACTTCGCGTTATAATTAAACTGCTTTCAATCATTCAAAGGAACAATAATCATAACCACACCCGATTTGAGACACAAATATGATTTTCCAATCATAATTAAAATAATAACCATAATATATTATAATTAAGCCACAACAAACGCTATGGGTAATAATTAAGTTACAACCAACACGTTATAAGTAGGGAAAATTTAAATTCAAGTCTCGTTTGGGAACTATGTATTTTAGCTAAAAGGTCGTTATAAGTTGTCACATCACTTTTTTTATTTTTCTGTACATCTTTTCGTAAAAAGTCAAAAAATTACTAAAATAATCTGTTCCCAAACGAAATCTCAGTGTATATTTAAAAAATAATTATAGATCAATAAAAAAATTATAAATATTAATAACTAAATTCTTAAAATTTTCCATCAACTTATAATAATTTTGTGGGAATACCATTGGGTGGCAATTTTCCGTTATAACTAGAGACCACTAAATTCACAATTAAAGATATTTTTGTTGATAACTAACAGTACAATGCTCTACATAGTTTTTGACGATGTGATTGATACATTCACCGGTCAGTAATTGGAAAAAATATTGAGATTACAATTTAAGTTTAACAATTTTTTCCTAGTGACATTGTAAGTTATATATCAAATTTTATTTTTTTATCATATCATGTAAAATAAATAAATAAATAAATCATGGAACACCATGTCACTAAAAAAAATTATTAATAAATATAAAAAAATAAAGCATAAAGCATAATAAAAAATAAAATAAATAAAAAAAAAAAAGAATAAAGAAGTCCTCGTCCAATGATTCACAGTTGCCTAGCTGTGAATCCATAAGAAACTAAGAGCATCTCCAATGCACTAGGCATATAATACTTGTTAGTTAAAATGCCTAGTGTGATTCACTTTTTTCAATTCCAATGCACTAGGCATATGATTAGGCATTTTGCCTCAACTCATATTCACTAGCTACATGTAGCTAGCCTTCAACGCTAGGCAAAATGTATTCAATCATTAGGATCATTTCCCAGCAAATCGTGTGGATGTTGCCTTGAAAGAACTCAAACAAATTTTGATCTTCCTCCATGCCGGAAACAACAATACCACTGGCTTCGATGAGTCTCGGCTTCGTCTTTGGCCTCGGCTTCTTCGCACTCTTTACTCTGCAGAATATATCATCGAATCTTTCCTCCTCAACACCCAACAAAGGAGACCATGGATCCAAATCCAGTTCACCTACAAAATGAATAAAATTGTACGGAGCTTCAGAGATGTATCCACTCAATTATTCCCACATCAACATCGACCGGCAACACAAACAGACGAATACAATGTCCTCGATCATAAGAAATTTAATCAAACATTCGCAACGCACGAAAAAATGCAGCACGATGTACTTGTTGGACGTGGAGATGTCGAGAAGGAGTTAACAGCTCGATTGACCGACAACGAGGAGGAGAAAAGCCTCCGTGTGATTTCTCTGGTGAGCGAAGAAGCGCTTGGAAAGACGGCACTGGCAAGGAATGTCTACAACAGAGTAGACATTCGGCAGCATTTCCAGTGCCGTGCTTGGCTCCACGTCGCCAAAGATTTCACATACAAGGATCTGTTGCTTGCAATAATCAAACAGATTCCAATATGTGGCGTATTGGCTGACGTGGAGCTTATGAGCGAGCACCAACTGTCGGCTTTGCTTTTCCAGATTTTAATGGAGCTCAGGTTTCTAATAGTATTGGATGGTATCTGCACCAATCATGTCTGGCTCATGTTAGCACGTCCCTTCGCTGATGCCGCGAATGGAAGCAGAGTCATCCTCACTACTCGCGACTCTAAGGTTGCATCCGAGGTTGACCCGTGGGGTCACCCATTGAAACTCATGAGGTTATCTGATGAGGAGAGTTGGGAATTGTTCTTGATGGTGGTAAATGGGGCAAATTATGATAATTTGAACAATTTCAAGGTAGGAATTGTCAGAATATGTCGCGGTTTGCCTCTAGCAATTGTCCTGCTTGGAGGATTGTTGTCGAGCATACAACCGAATGATGAGTGGTCCGGTGTAATTGATCATCTTTCGCAGTACTTGGGGGATGATGATCAATCAGTCGATCTCTTGACTATCGTAGCTTTATGCTATCATGAGCTACCGTATGTGTTAAAGCCGTGTTTCCTTTATTTGACTCTCTTTCCTAAAGCGTATGAGATTCCTATGCGGAGGTTGTTGCAGTTGTGGATTGCCGAGGGATTTATTCAAATATCAACTACTACCACGACTAGTGTCCTTGAACCTGAAGATCTGGCCAAGGCATATTTGGAAGAACTAGTGTCGAGAAACATGATTGAAATAGCCACATGGAAAGAACACGGAAGCCCCAAAACATGTCGAATGTCGAGCTTTCTTTACGATGTCTTCTTGCCAAAAGCCGAGGATATAGGATTTCTTCAAATCCGCCATTGCAATTCACATGTACATGAGTCAAATCAGATTATTCGGAGGCTTGCAGATCATTATGTTGGGGTCAAGTCTCCTTTGGAGTCTCATACTCAACATCTATGTTCGTTTGTTTCATTCGAAGCCCAAAAACAAGGTACATCTAACAGAGAAGTCGGTACATTGCTTAACACAATAATCAGTAAGAGGAGATCTAGAGGTATTGTCCTGATGAAAGTGCTTGACCTAGAGGGTGTCTACAAACCTTTGCTACCCGAGAAACTCGGCCAATACTTACAGAACCTAAGATACTTAGGCTTGCGATGGACCGGTCTAGAATCATGTCCGGAAACAATTGGGGATCTACCATGCTTGGAGACTTTAGATTTGAAGTATACTAATATAACCACTTTGCCGGGTTCCATTTGGAAGGCAAAGAACCTTCGACATCTCTTTATGAACGAGGTGTCAATTGCGAAGCCATCATCAAAAGAGTCTTCACCGACAAACCTTCAGACCTTAATGGGGCTCCTGCTTGGTGCTAAGGACCCTTATGAATACGGCTTAGACTGGTTCACCAGCCTTCGGAAATTGGGAGTATCATGCCATCCAAAATCAGCAGAGAAAACAGCCAAGTGCATATCAGGACTTGACAAACTCCAAACCTTAAGATTGAGATCAAAAGATCGATTTGGTCAACCTTTAGACCTCGAGTTGAGTCCTTTGAAGGACCATCAGTCTCTTTCGAACTTGTATTTGTTTGGAGTGATAAAGGATGGGATTAAATACCTTCCCCTGAATCTCAAAGTCCTAACATTGTCAATGTCAAAACTCACAGAAGATCCAATGCCGGTGATAGGGAAGCTGCTGCCTCAACTGAACGTCCTCAAGATTCTTGCTTTCTCTTATCTAGGGTCGGAAATGAGATGTGTTTCGGGGGACTTCCCTAAACTCCACGTCTTGAAATTGTGGATGCTAGAAAACCTAGTTCAGTGGACATTGGAGAGAGGTGCCATGCCCCAACTTGCGGAGTTAGAAATTAGAGGTTGCAAAAAATTGACAAAGTTGGATGGATTAGAGCACCTGCCTGCCCTGAAGGAATTACTTTTAACAAACATGTCGCCGGATTTTGTTGCAGATGTTAAAAAAAGGTTGGGAAGCAACATTTTACTCACCAATGAGTGGGAGCCTTCGTCCCTCGCATGTAAGTTTTCTTCATTTGTAATATACTGTCTATCATTTTTTTTTAATGAACCAAATGTGAGCAGATCACTAAGGATCTTCTAATTATATTAATGTTTTTAATGAAGGATTAATGCTCGCGGATACTGGAGACTGGAATAAAATGCAGTTTTAATTTGGAGTCAAGACTGTCAAAAGACTTCAAAGAGTTGATGTGCTGCAAAAAAAAAATGCAGCTTGTTGTATCTCTGCTGTTCACAACACCGTTCTTTTTATGTAAAATACACTGCAACTCTATTTTTAACTTGTGTTTGGCTTAATTAAATAAAATTCATTTGTATGTTCATGAAGTGGCTCACTTTTAAGGCTGAAATACTCATAGAATTTAGAGCATTCTAACATGTGGATTTGAAAGTGAGATTGAATCAGCATGGTTCTTAAATTAAGAATGATTAATTAAAAAAATTTGACATCATGCTGATTTGTTGGTTTGAATGAATTCAGTCTTTCATGTAGGAGATTAACAACAAGTTTTGGTTTCACCTTTATCGGCTGCACCATATATTATGTGCAAATTTAACATTTCACCACTTGTGGCATCATCAGCCACAATAAAATAAAAAAGAACTTGGCATTGATTGAGGCTTCTTCTTCTTCTTTTTCTTCTTCTTTTTTTCTTGGTTGAGTATACATGCTAGTTGTTAGAATAGTAGAGAGAGAAAAATTAATATGTATTGTATTCAATTAATTAATCATATACAATAGAAGACCTGTATATATAGACTGAGAAAAAGTATCCTATAAACAACATAACTATGACAATATAAATATATCTAGAAAATCAATACCTAATATATCTAAAAATATATACTATATATACAGTAACATCCCCCCTCAAACTCAAGATAGGAGGATAAACATCTTGAACTTGGAGAGAGAAACTAAAACATGAAATAAAACTAAATAAAATAAAAGGTAAATAGATTGCAAAATCCGAACGGAAGCGCAAGGGCACTTAAGATAGATCAGAGACTGGAGCTAATACCGAGAGACGGTTTATGGTCATGTCGGACCATTGTAGGAACTGGTCGGAACTAATGCCAGAACAGCTTAAGGTCGTGCCAAACCGTTACAGAAATTGATCGAAACTAATGCCGAGACAGTTTAAGGTCGTGCCAAACCGTTACAGAAACTGGCCGGAACTAATATCAGGACAGTTTAAGGTCGTGCCGGACCGCTGTAGAAATTGGGCAGATCTAATGCCGAGATAGTTTAAGGTCTTGCTGGATCATTATACAAACTGGTCAGAACTAATGCCGGGACAGTTTAAGGTCGTACCGGACTATTGTAGGAGCTAACTGAAATAAATGTCGGGATAGTTTATGGGGTTATGCCAAACCGTTCTAGGAACTGACCGGAATCAATGTCAGAACAATTTACAGGGAACTACAACAAAAAGCATTTTTGGCGGCTTTTTTTAGCAACCAAATTAAATTTAGTTGCCAATTGTATGTTTTTGGCGACAATATACGTGTTCATTGCCAAAAAAAACACCATTAGCAACAAATATCTCAATTCGTCGCCAAAAATGGTTGGCGCCAATTTAATTTTTTGCGCGGGAGCGCTAAAAAAGTTTTGGCAACGAAATTAATATATGGCGACAAAAATGTTTGTCGCCAATTTGGACTTTTTGGCGATGAAATTAAAATAGTCGCTGAAAGGTGAATGATATTTATGGCAACATAATAATTTTCGTCGCCAATAAATTTCTTTGTCAAAACGACATCGTTTTGAATCTGTCTTTTTTTTTTTTTTAATGACCGAATAAACAAGATTGACCTAAAATGAGTCTTCTTCGTTTTCTCATTCCACAACCTGAAACGGCACAACAAAGAGGTATGTTTTCTCTCCCTCTTCTTCGCCTCTCTTTCCCTCTCCCTCTCCTTCTCCCTCTCACTCTCACTCTCACTCTCTCACACTGTCTCATCTTCCTTTCTTTCTTATTTATCATCAATTTCATTCGGCATTGCAGAACACAACACAATCAATGGGACTGATTTTTCCCTCACACTCTCACACTCTCTCATCTTCGTCTTTTTCTTCTTTTTCATCAATCTAATTTTTCGGACTGATATTCTGATTTTTCGGACTGATATTGTGATTTTCGGACTGATATATTCTAATTTTTGGACTGATTTTGGAACTGATTTTCGGGACTGGTATATTCTGAATTTCGGACTGATTTTGTAACTGATTTTGTATTTTTTTGGGGACTGATATTATAATTTGGGTATCGATCGCACAAATTTGCTGGCATGGAAAGGTGCGCTCAGATTTTTCGATATATCACCTTATAGATTTTGATTCTTGTGAAATCTGGTTTGAGTTTGGTAGTTTGATCATTTGTTAAACCAATGTTTTGTGCTAGGCATTAAGCTTTGATTTTGGTAAATATTTTGAAATTTTGATGATTTCAGAGACATCAGAGTAATTATGGGTGATCTTGAGTAATTGTTTTTTGGTGTGCATTTTGTAAGTGGTTTTTTCACACCCACCACATGTTTGTGTGTTGGTTTGAAAGAGACAAAAAGTTGCAGTGGACTAGAATTTGAATGAGCAATTTCTTTGACTATGTGACTAATTAGAGTCATTTTCATTGTTTTCTGTTTTTATATTTTCTGGGTTGTGGATGTGAACTAGAATTTGAATTTTTGTACTGGATTCTCGGCTTTTTTGATCACTCCCTAATAATATATATATACTAATATACACATAACAAACAAGCCAATGCTATCTATATATAAAGCTTTTTTCTTCTCATTGTATAAATAAGTTGGCTAGCCTTTATAATTTGTTGAAATGGCTAATTATTCACATCAAGTGTTTTCTGTGAAAACATTTGTTACTACAAGTTGATGTAACTTTTGATTATCATAGAGCACTCTCATATTTTTTGGGGTTTCAATTTTTACTCTTTTTCATATAGATTCTTTAGATGATATTATTTTAGATATATAATAGTACATACTCATTATTCTTGAACTTTTTTCTTTTCCTCAGTTTCTTATCTAGTTTTGGATGAAGAATTTCTAAAAATAGAGTTTTGAAAAAACTTGAATTATGAGACCTTTTTATTGAGATGCACTATATTTATATACAAGAATTACATTTAATCATACATAATTTACTGAAATTCTGTACATATTTAGCACGTGATAAATAAGGAGTCAACTACAAGATTCTCATTCATGAGCTTCATCTTTGACTAGTTCTTCTCCTTGATTTCAGCATATAGATTGTCTATATTCTGCGACATATTTTTAGCACACTGCTGCTGATTTTTAGCACTTGTTTTATAAGAGAAGTTTCTTTAGATGTAGAGATTGTATTGTACACGGTTGTCCCGTTAATGAAGGATTTATGGACAGCCAATACAAAAGTGTCACATCAGCCAAAATACTCTCTATTATTATCTGGTTAGTGGATCTTGTCTTCTCTCCAGTCATACCACCACCAAACGCCTCTTCCTTTTTCCTGCAAGAACAATTATTCAAAGACTATATAATTGATGATAAGTTGAAGGAGATTTGCATAGGAAACAAAGAGGGAATTCCATTTTATCACTCTTTTGAAACATTTATTTCTACTGCTTGTTTTAGAGTTCGGATTAGAAGATTGAGTTGAGTTGAGTTTCCTAGCCAGAGTTGAGTTTCCTTTTCCCAACATTTAACCTGAAATTGCTGTTAGAATGAGTGTAGTCTGTGTAAAAGCTTATTTTTTTGCTGTGTAGTCTGAAATTATGTGGCAAAATCTTGATAGTCAAACTGTGTGCATCTTTGTTCAAAAAAAAAAACTGTGTGCATCTTGATTTAAAATTTTTCATAATTTTTAGTTTCTGAAAGATTTTTTAATGCCAAAGTCTGTTAAAACTTTGTACAAATTTCTATTTTCTATAATTATTGTGTGATTGATGGACATGATTTGCTCTTGTTCCATGTGTTTTTTCATTGTTTTATCTTTTATGATGAAGGAATTAACTTGGTATTCAGGGGCATGCCTTTTTTTATCAGCTCATTCCTCATTATTAGTTTATCAGTTCATTTTCTGTGTGAACATCACAAAGGCATTGGTAAGATGAAGTGTGTAATTTGAAATTAGCAAGTTTGACAGATTAGAGGTTCTAATGTATGAGTTCTGATGGGTTAAAATGAGTT